AGAATTATGGTAGAAAGACAGATTCCATTAATAGCTATGATGGAGGGCAGGAAAGAGTGCCACTCCTGAAAACCCCATGGTTCTTACAAATTCTTTGCTTGGCCATACTGTAAACATTCAGAAACTGGCTAAAATGCCCCACTGAGGCCCATATATCATACAAACATAGAAATTGCCAAATTTGCCATATAGATCAGACAAACCCTCCAACTAGTCCAGTATCCTGCCTCTGACAGCACCTAGTTAGTGCTAAATGCTTCAGAGAAAAGTAAAAGAACCCTATAGTGGGCAGTTATGAAAAAAAGCCTGCTCACAGATGTTTCTTCCTAACCTCAGGTGGTTAGTAGTTGCCTTATGTCCTGTAGCATGAGGTCTTATATCAGGGGTGGGCAAACTTTTTGGCCCAAGGGCCACATCAGGGAATAGAAATTGTATGGCGGGCCATGAATCCTCACAAAAATTGGGGTTGGGGTGCGGGAAGGGGTGTGGGCTCTGGGGTGGGGCTGAGGAGTTTGGAGGACGGGAGGGGGATCAGACCTGGGACAGGGGTGCGGGAACAGGTGCAGGTTCCGGCTGGGGGTGTGGGCTCTTGGATAGGGCTGGGGATGAGAGGTTTGGGGTGCAGAAGGGTGCTCCAGGCTGGGATAGAGGGGTTTGGAGAGCAGGAGGGAGGACTGGGGCAGGGGGTAGGGGCGTGGGGAGAGGCACAGGGGGTGCAGGTTCCGAGTGGCACTTACCTCAACCGGCTTTTGGAAGCAGTGGCATGTCCCTTCTCCGGCTCCTATGCAGAGGCGCAGCCAGGCAGCTCTGCATGCTGCCCCATCCGCAGGCACCGCCCCTGCAGCTCCCATTAGAGCGGGGCTATGTTGGCTTCCGGGAGCTGCATGGTGTGGCCCCGACCCAGCGCCTCAGCTGGAGCAGGGCCAAGCCACTGGTGTGGCCCCCGACCCAGTGCCCCAGCCAGAGCGGGACCAAGCCTTGTGGTGTGGCCCCAACCCAGCGCCCCAGCCAGAGTGGAGCCAAGCCGCATGGTGCGGCTCTGACCCAGCACTTGCTGAGCCATGTGGTCCAGCCCCGATCCAGCACCCTGGCCAGAGTGCCGGACCAGGACTGAGATGGGTGGTCCAGCCCCAACCCAGCGCCCCGGCCAGAGCGCTGCAGCGAGGCTGAGCCACTAGTGCGCTCGTGGGTCAATTTAAAATGGCTCATGGGCGGTAATTTGCCCACCCCATCTTATATCCTTTCTACAATAATTTATCCCATATAGCCCAACTGTGGATGTACTCAGCCCCTATAAATGACTGTCTTTGTGATTATACATCTTCAGTGGTGGAGATAAAACTGTGGCAGTAAGCTCTTCAACATGATTCCTTTGGCCTACCAGCAGAAGCTGTTTGCATAGTGTTTGACTTCAGCCATCTTTTCATCTCTTGTTGATCAGACCCTAAGATAATTGGGTGACATGGCCTTATCATAGTTTAACAGACTTGTATGCTCTCTACATACTATTGGCAGCTGAATCAGTGCAGTCTCACTGTTCCTCCTAGTAGCTGCATGTAAACACTGAATCAGACAGTGGGGAGAACCCTATGGTTCTGTTTAAAACATTTCCCTGTACCCTTGCCACTTCTCTCAGGCAGGATAGCAGCATCCAGTGATCAACTGTACAGAATCCTGTGGAGGGATCTTAGAGTATGAATATGGATGTTTCCTCTTTATTCATGGAAAAGGAGAGATTGTCCACCAACACCTTAAACCTGATTGGGAAGGATATAGGGGCGGACATGTGTTTGGAGACAGCTTTTTGCTAGATTTTCGGTGAGTCTCCTTAGATAGAGAAATAAGAAAGATCTGATGCTGTGTGGAAATTAGCAAAGGCCATTGTATCCAGAGACACTGGTTGAACCAATGCCATAAATCAGCATGGATGTGAACGAGGGATTGTCTGAGCTGGACACATTTGGCCAAAACACACAGACAGTATTGTGTGTATTTGTTTTCTGGTTTAAGCGGGGGGAAGAAGAGCAGTTCTGGTTCAAGCAGGGAAAGATATGAGGCAGTTCCTGCTCCCTTGCATTGGCACAAAAGATCAGAAGGTGTAATCCTGACAAGGTTCAGAGAATTTCAGACCCTTGTCACGTAAGAAAAATGTTAGGACTCTGAGCAAGATTCTCCTGCAAGCTTCACACACCAATTTTGGACACTTGGATCAGGAAACCATGCCCCTTGTGCTCAAGCCAGCTGCAAAGCTAGAAAAGCGATTGCAGGCATCCCTATGTGCACAACCTAAAGCCTCCCAGCAAAGAGGGACTGAACTAAGTCCCCTGCAGAGAGGGCATGGTGTTTCTCTAGGTGCTGGAGCTACATCTGCCAAGTGTTGACCACCCAGGCATGGTGGGCAGTATTTTTTTATTTACTGTTAGTGACAGTGGGAGCCTGCTGGCCTGGAAATATATTCCTCTTATTTTTACATAGAGCCTCCACACAATCAATTTACAAAAGCAGCTTTTTATTTAGAAGTAGTTTTTATCTATATCTATACATACACACATTGCGGGTGGTTTACATATTTAAGCCATTAATATAAGAGGGCACTCAGTAAACTTTTTTACACAACTACTGACTTGACTATGGGAATCAAGTTTGATAGTTTAATCCTTAAAATAGTTGTATAATTGCTCTATACATCTTAGAAAACAATATATTGCACAGCTTGATTAATGCTAATATCTTTGTTAGAATCATTTGTGCTGTGCTTTGGCTAGGGGAACGTTTTCGAAAGAAAATTACTACTTATTTAGTCCGCCAGGTCAAAGCTTCATTTATTTGTTTTAAGGGGATGAGGGCCAGATACCTAACCTCAGCAGCAGCTTAGTTCTGGTGGCAAGTCTGTCCCTAATAATCTTTACTGGTTGCTTTCTTCTTCTTAAAAACTGAGCATGGTATACAACCTGACTTTCATTTGTTACCAGATTTACAAGCATTATGCATATCATACAGAAGACTGTACATGCCATCAGTATTAATATAGCACAAACACTTTAGCCCTGTACTTTGATCCAACACATTAAATTAATAAAAAGCCACTGGTGCCTAAGTGCACCCTTCTGTGTTTTCATGTGGTCATTGTCAGAATCATTGAAATGAGCTGTAGCTCACGAAAGCTTATGCTCAAATAAATTAGTTAGTCTCTAAGGTGCCACTAGTACTCCTTTTCTTTTTGTCCTATTATGATAATTGTGGAAACAGGAACTTTGATTGTTATCAAGCTAACACATGCAGAAACTTGACCACCTTTACAAAGAAAGGACGCAAACACTGGCATTAGTTCATTTTTCCACCATATGGAGACAAGTATATTTATTAGCACTCAAAGACATTTTTCATCAGTACTTCCGGCACTCTGAATTTTAGTTTTCTAATGTGATTGCATTTTTTACCCTAAATGTTTGTCTATATAGCCCTGTTCTTCAAAGGTGATGAAGCAAAAAGTTTGGGAATTGGAATGAGGGGGCAGGTTCCTGATATTACATATTCATTATATAATTTTTCTGGCAAAGAACACAATTTGTGGAGTAACTGCAAAGAGGATTCATACCCCACCCTGCTTCTTCCAGGCAGCGTATTTCTATTTTCAACATGCTAGAACTATCTCAGGCCTTTCTGCATTCAATTATATCAACATAAAGGTGTTTGAGGGCTTGTCTACATTTGAAAGTTAACACTGATTAAGGCAGGGTATGAATTAAAGTGCAATAGCTGTTTCTAGTGGGGTAAAGTAAGCAGGAACACAGCACTCTTAACCCCAAAGATAAGCGTTCACACACAGTTAACCAGGAAAAATTCCATGTGTAAACAAACCTTAAGCTTATTCCCATGCAGGAAGGAGAATACCCTATATCTGTATAAAGTACTTTTATACTAGTATAAATATATACACTGCAAGGATTGTACCAGTATAACTACATTAGATAAAAAAGAAAATCACTCCTCACCTAGTTATACTGGTTCAAAATCTGTATGTAGACCAGGCTTCAGAATGAGCTGCCAAAAATGTATGGGCTGCTATAGTAATATAATCTCACAGGAAAATTGACAGGCTTAAAGGCTAAATCTTATTTGCCTTATTCACAAGAATAATGCTATTTGGATGAGTCAGGTGAGAAGAATTTGATCCTAAATATTCAACCTAAATAGACAGATGAAAAATAGCATCCTGTGTTGCCACCTCTTGCGTTAATTGGGATCTTTCTTAAAGCCCCAGCTCCTAGAGTCATGGGAGTTCATGAGAAATTCAGCTTTCATTTTTTTTTAAAGTGCACTTCTTTCTAGCCCTCTCCGTTGCAGAGAAAGGCATGAAAATATGAAACAAGTGCACCCCGAAACCTCGAAAACCAGACGGCCAATAATATGACCTGAACGGTTGCTGTTGTTTTTTTTTAAAAATCCCACAATTTTTAAACCAATCATGATATTTCAGGAGGCTGATGTCTTTGAAAAAAAAAAAAAGTACTTGGGTTTGGCATCACACCAGCGCCTCCTGGAGCCCCAGCCCCTGGGTCCAGCCCACCAACCCAAACCTTCCCTTTCTCCTCGGCCGTTGCTCTGTGGAGAGCCAAACCGAAGCAGCTTGGAAGTTCGCATTCACACCAGGCTTCCTGCCTGCTCCGGTGCCCCCGGACAAAACGCTCCTGGACTGGCCAGCGCAAACAAACCCGAGCCACCGGGCTCTGGGGCGGCCCCAGTCCGCGTTTCTCGGCCGGCCAACAAGTCGCGCCCCCGAAAAATCGCACCCTCCACCCTAGCCGGGACGCGGCCCTGGAGACCACAGGGACGGCTCTGACCGCGGGCAACGCAACGCGCCGCGCCTCGAGCCGCCTCGCGCCAGCGCCCCGAGCCGCAGCATTTGCCCCCTCCCGCGCGCTCCGCTCCCGCCTTCCCAGCCACGCGCCGCGTCTCGCCCCGCCCCGCCCCTTCCTCTGGCGTCACTTCCTGCGCGGCCTCCCTTCCGCTTCTGTCTCTAGTCCAGTCATCTCCTTCCGCCTGGTTGTTTCCAGGGTAACTAGCCGCGCCGGTCGGAGACGGCTGTCGCCCGCCCGCCGTAAGTAGCTCAGCAGCGGGCTAGGGTTGCAGCCTGCTCTCAGCGACCTCCTCCGCGGAGGGGAGCCCTGCCCTGCCCTGCCCTTCTTCCCCGCGCCCCCGGAGAAGAGCAGTGCCCCTCCCCAGAGGTGTTAGGACTGCCCTCCCCGCCCCGGGCCAGGAATCCCCCCACCCTTTTCCCTTCCTCCCCCCACAGGTTCTTGGGACACTCCTTGCCCCACAAGAGGTCAGATTCACCCCCCACCCCCACCCCCGAGGACTGCATTCCCCACAGGGGAGAAAGTCTCCCCTCCCTATGAAGTGGAGGACTGTCCCAACCCTCCACTCCCCTCCAGCGGTGGGTCTCAACCTTTCCAGACTAATGGACCCCTTTCCGGGAGTCTGATTTGTCTTGTGTACCCCGAAGTTTCACCTCACTTAAAAACTACTTGCGTACAAAATTAGATATAAAAATACAGAAGTGTCACAAAAAGAACCAGGAGGACTTGAGGCACCTTAGAGACTAACAAATTTATTTGAGCATAAGCTTTCGTGGGCTAAAACCCACTTCATCCGATGCATGCAGTGGAAAATACAGAGGGAAGAGATATATACACAGAGAACATGAAAAAATGGGTGTTGCCATACACACTATAATGAGAGTGATCAATTAAGGTGGGCTGTTATCAGCAGGAGAAAAAAGCTTTTGTGGTGATAGGATGGCCCATTTCCAACAGTTGACAAGAAGGTGAGAGTAACAGTGGGGGCGGGGGGGAGAATAAGCATGCAGAAATAGTTTTACTTTGTGTAAAAGTGTCACAGTACGCTATCACTGAAAAATTAATTATGTTCTCATTTTTGCCATATGATAATAAGATAAATCAATTGGAATATAAATATTTTACGTACATTTCAGTGTATAGTATGTACAGCAGTATAAACAACTCACTGTCTGTGTGAAATATTAGTTTGTACTGACTTTGCTAGTGCTTTTTATGTAGCCTGTTGTAAAACTAGGCAATATCTAGATGACTTGATGTACCTCTGGAAGATATTTGCGCATGGGCCACGAGTATTGAAGGCAGGGGAAGGCTGTGCCTCCCCAAACAACCTTGCATGGCCCCACACACACTCTTCCCCCAGACTCCTTCCTGCTTCCTGCGTTGTGCTGCGGGGGGGCTAGAGGGCTAACGGTGGCTGGTCTGTGATCTGGGGTTGGGGGAGGGAGGCCATGCTGCCCGCCCGCCCAGCCCTCCGGTGCTGTGGGGGGCACCGTCCACTCACCTGCCTGGCATTCCGGGGCTGGGGGGGGTCTCTGCCCGCTCACCCGCCGGTTGTTTCGGGGCTAGCGGGGCATGGGTGGCTGGAGGCGTGGGGGGGAAGCTGGCTGCCACGCCAGGAGGGGGTGGTCTCTGGGCTCTGGCGGGAGAGGCGGGGCCTCAGGCAGAAGGGGTGGTCCAGCCAGGGGCTAGCCTCCCTGAGCCAGGGATTCACCCGCCACGCATGCCTCTCTCCTGGTTGAGAGCCACTGCCCTTGAAGTCTCTGACTGACACCTCCACCCCTCAGGACAGTGGTGGGCAACTTGCAGTCCGTCAGGGTAATCTGCCGGCAGGCTGCGAGACAGTTTGTTTACATCAACCGTCTGCAGGCATGCCTGCCCGCAGCTCCCAGTGGCTGCCATTCATCGTTCCCAGCCAACGGGAGCTGTGGAAAGTGGTGCGGGCCTGCAGACGGTTGATGTAAACAAACTGTCTTGCGGCCCACTAGCGGATTACCCTGACGGACCGCAGGTTGCCCATCACTGACTCAGGACTAAAGGACTGTGCCTCCTGCCTCCCCTGGAACTGCCCCTCCCCCCCCAGAAGCAGGAGCATAGGGAATTGGTTCCCGCCATCTTCCACTCTTCAGAGTCCAGTGACCTCCAAGTATGTTGCAGCCAGGAGGAAAGGATGGGGATTGATAACCCCCACACACCGGGTGTGGTGCAGCCCTTACAGTAACTGAGTAGTTGAGCCCATGTGTTCTCTCATTGTTTCCCACTAAGCTTCTGCTGGGCAACCCTACTGCTTTGACATGGTGCCCAGGCATCAGAACCATCTTCCTTGGGGTAGAAAGTTTTCGGCCTGCTTGCCTTTTTCTAGATGTTTGTACAGTGTGTAAAGCATCTAGAGTGCTAGAGAGGAGCTTGATAACCTAATGAAACAATATCTAGATATGGAATTTATTTTAAACTTTTTATTACACCTTTCATCCCAAAGCTGCTCACGGACTACACATACCGCCTGAAAAACAGCCACCTCTGAGGTGGTGAGGACAGCAATTGGGCTGACATCAGTTGTACAAGACAACAGTGGAAGGAAAGGAGTTTTGGCCAAAGGTACTAGGACAAACTCCTACTTGTAGGAAAAGTGCCCTAGAATCTTTCATATCCACATAGAGCAGATAGGAGACAGGACTCATCCAAATAATTCCTTTATAGTATGAACGGCATAGATATAAGTTGCTAGAATTGAATTCGTCCTACTGAGTTATAAACCTGTGGTTCAAGGAAGCTGAAGGTATTTCAAACCTGATGTTTAAAACACCAATCTGTCTTTTGCCTGTTTAGTAATGTAGTTTGTTTTTCATGTTTGGGATAGGGATGTCATGAGGAAAGGAACAGTATAGTAACCATACAGAGTTTTAATTGAGCATTCATGAACTATACTTCAGCATCTCTTTCTCCCTGTCTGTGTGCAGCCTTATTTTGTGGGATTGATTGGAGTCAGATCATGTCCACTCCTCCTCTCGCTGGGGCAGGGATGCCTCCTGGTGCTTTCTCAGGTCCACAGGCTCAAGCAGCCCGAGAAGTGAACACAGCTTCTCTCTGTCGCATTGGCCAAGAGACTGTGCAGGATATTGTATTTCGGACAATGGAAATCTTTCAGCTACTGAGGAATATGCAGGTGAGATGCAGAAAGACCTTCCCTTTTCATACTCTTCTGTTCCCTTCCTATCTCCTACCAACTAGTTGTTTAAAAAAAAAAAAAAAAAAGTAATACATTTGGAGGTGATCGGATGCATCATAGCATGTGTAGAAAGTGTTTTCAGTATTTGAGGGGGTAGTTTAGCTTAGAGCAAGTTCTTGACCAAAGTGTTTTCAGGGGTGAGAATATGTTGTCTGTATATTGCTGTTGGATTATTTCTGTAAATCTGTTCTTCCATCCTGGTTGCATGAGCATTGTGAATTAGAGAAAATCCTCATTTAGTGTACTGTGGGTACACGCTAAATGTAAGACTTTTGTCTTTATGTTTCTATTTTCTTTTAAGAAATAACAAAATTTGTTTATATGCTAACTTCTTTTCTGTATTCTTGCTGGCCTTTGGGGATTATTTTGCCAGAGATCTTTTGGTCATCTTACTATAGAATAACATTTTCCATCCAAAACTGGGTGAAATTCTTAACGCTCTTTTTATACTCAGAAAGTGGTACAAGTAATTTTCAGTGTGAGGCTGGTTACTGAGTAAATAAACCCCAAGATGTAATTGTATTTAAAGAATAGAATCTGAGAAGATGAATTGGAATATAATCCTTTTATTTCTTCCTGTGACTATGATTTTATTTTTTAGTTGAACGTTCTTATATTGTAATTTTTTATCTATATCTAGGTATTTATGTCAGAAATTATTGCTAAAGCATTTTGATACTGAGCTTGATAACATCTCATAAAATTTTAAGATGGCATCCAATATCACATCTTCTACATCTTGCATAACCAGTTTAAGCATTCTGATGTTAAGAAGAATAGCATTGTGTTCATAATTAAACAGTCCCAGATCTTGGAAGGAGCTTTGCTCACGTAAACTCCTACACCTGCACAGAACCCTACTGACTTAAGTGATGGCAGGAGCACTTCTATGAGGAGCACATTGTAGTGGTGGGGTCTAAAAATAAACTAATGGCTGCTAGTGGTCACTGCATATTGTAAAAAGACTGCATATTGTTAGGGTATTTGTAATAACTGTTAACATCACTCTTCTCCTACTGTTTGAAATGACCCTTTGGAAGCTTGGATTTTATATATATATATATATATATATAATTTTTTGGTTGCTTATGCTCTTCTCCTGCTGAGTTGAAGTCCTGTGCTTATTTTTATTTGTTTTTACTTGTGCTAGTTGTATCATAGCACTTGTTTTGGGAGGTGAGAGAAATACTAGAGGCCAGGTACTTGTATCCGTGGGAAGAATCCAACAATCATTGAAGTAAATGGGAGCTGAGTAGAAACGTTTTTGAGTATAAGACAGAATTTGGCCAACAAAGTGGAATAGCCTTTGTAAATTAATATATAACAAATTAAAAAGTTATAGCTTGAGAATTATTGCATTTCTAAGAGGTTTTCAGGAACTGTGCATCTTACTAGAGTTGCATAATTTTTTAATGAACAAGTTATTTTTTTAAAAATCCAGATTTAACTATGAAGAGTCTCATTTGAGCTTCTTCACTGTATTTGAATAAAAGTAAAGTGAGAAGTTTTGTAAAATAACTGCAAGAAAAATATGTATCCTTAAGGAGTATTGCTTTTAGCAATGGCCAATACAGTTAGATTAGGTATTGCAAATCCTCTATTATTGTAATGACATTAATATGATGCTATCCTTAAGTTAAAAGTAAAGGTGAAAAAAGAACAATTTATTTGTGGACTAAATAAGAAAGTAGAACCAGTGTACAGGTTGTACACTATTATTAACAGGACATAATCTAGTTGTTTGAAAATGTTCCTTAGATCAGAAAGGGAGGATACAAAAAATAATTTCTGAATAAATTATTTTTACAACATTTAAACACAATGAAAGAAACCATGTCTTCTATGAAATTCAATCCAATTCACATAGCCTTGAGCTGTTAAAACCCTTTGAGCTATAACTAGCAAATATATACAGTCTATCTTAGTTCTCTTTTCAACTCTTAAAGAAATGCTCACGCATTTGGTACAACTTAATGAAGTAATTAACTTAGATATAGGGGAAATAATGTTATTCAAAAATAAATGTTTTCTGTGTTATGTAACAGTACTAAAACCACTTCTGTAAAGTAAAGTAATGCACATTGGAAAAAATAACCCCAACTATACATACAATATGATGGGGCTAATATAGCTACAATTAATCAGGAGAAAGATCTTGGAGTCATCGTGGATAGTTCTCTGAAGACGTCCATACAGTGTGCAGCGGCAGTCCAAAAAGCATACGGGATGTTAGGAATCATTAAAAAAGGGATAGAGAATAAGACGGAGAATATCTTATTGCCCTTATATAAATCCATGGTACACCCACATCTTGAATACTGCGTACAGATGTGGTCCCCTCATCTTGAATACTGCGTACAGATGTGGTCCCCTCATCTCAAAAAAATATACTGGCATTAGAAAAGGTTCAGAAAAGGGCAACTAAAATGATTAGGGGTTTAGAACAGGTCCCATATGAGGAGAAATTAAAAAGGCTAGAACTTTTCAGCTTGGAAAAGAGGAGACTAAGGGGGGATATGATAGAGGTCTATAAAATCATGAGTGGTGTGGAGAAAGTGAATAAGGAAAAGTTATTTACTTGTTCCCATAATATCAAAACTAGGGGCCACCAAATGAAATTAGTGGGTAGCAGGTTTAAAACAAATCATAGAATCATAGAATAACAGAGTTGGAAGGGACCTCTGGAGGCCATCTAGTCCAACCCCCTGCCCAGAGTAGGACCAATCCCAACTAAATCATCCCAGCCAGGGCTTTGTCAAGTCTGACCTTAAAAACTTTTAAGGAAGGGGATTCCACCACCTCCCTAGGTAACGCATTCCAGTGTTTCACCACCCTCCTAGTGGAAAAGTTTTTCCTAATATCCAACCCAAATCTCCCCCACTGCAACTTCAGACCATTACTCCTTGTCCTGTCATCTGCTATCACTGAGAATAGTCTAGATCCATCCTCTTTGGATCCACCTTTGAGGTAGTTAAAAGCAGCTATCAAATCCCCCCTCATTCTTCTCTTCCGTAGACTAAACAATCCCAGTTCCCTCAGCCTCTCCTCATAAGTAATGTGTTCTACACCCCTAATCATCTTTGTTGCCCTTCGCTGGATTCTCTCCAATTTTTCCACATCCTTCATGTAGTGTGGGGCCCAAAACTGGACACAGTACTCCAGATGAGGCCTCACCAGTGTCGAATAGAGGGGAATGATCACATCCCTCGATCTGCTGACAGTGCCCCTACTTATACACCCCAAAATGCCATTGGCCTTCTTGGCAACAAGGGCACACTGTTGACTCATATCCAGCTTCTCATCCACTGTCACCCCTAGGTCCTTCTCTGCAGAACTGCTGCCTAGCCGTTCAGTCCCTAGTCTGTAGCGGTGCATTGGATTCTTCCGGCCTAAGTGCAAGACTCTGCACTTGTCCTTGTTGAACCTCATCAGATTTCTTTTGGCCCAATCCTCCAATTTGTCTAGGTCCCTCTGTATCCTATCCCTACCCTCCAGCGTATCCACCGCTCCTCCCAGTTTAGTGCCATCTGCAAACTTGCTGAGGGTGCAATCCACACCATCCTCCAGATCATTTATGAAGATATTGAACAAAACCAGCCCGAGGACCAACCCTTGGGGCACTCCGCTAGATACCGGCTGCCAACTAGTCATGGAGCCATTGATCACTACCCGTTGAGCCCGACAATCTAGCCAACTTTCTACCCACCTTGTAGTGCATCCATCCAGCCCATACTTCTTTAACTTGCTGACAAGAATACTGTAGGAGACCGTGTCAAAAGCTTTGTTAAAGTCGAGGAATAACACGTCCACTGCTTTCCCTTCATCCACAGAACCAATTATCTCATCATAGAAGGCAATTAGATTAGTCAGGCATGACTTGCCCTTGGTGAATCCATGCTGACTGTTCCTGATCACTTTCCTCTCCTCTAAGTGTTTCAGAATTGATTCCTTGAGGACCTGCTCCATGATTTTTCCAGGGACTGAGGTGAGGCTGACAGGCCTGTAGTTCCCAGGATCCTCCTTCTTCCCTTTTTTAAAGATGGGAACTACATTAGCCTTTTTCCAGTCGTCCGGGACCTCCCCTGAACACCATGAGTTTTCAAAGATAATGGCCAATGGCTCTGCAATCACATCCGCCAACTCCTTTAGGACTCTCAGATGCAGCGCATCCGGCCCAATGGACTTGTGCTCGTCCAGCGTTTCTAAATAGTCCCGAACCACTTCTTTCTCCACAGAGGGCTGGTCACCTCCTCCCCATGCTGTGCTGCCCAGTGCAGTAGTCTGGGAGCTGACCTTGTTTGTGAAGACAGAGGCAAAAAAAGCATTGAGTACATTAGCTTTTTCCACATCCTCTGTCACTAGGTTGCCTCCCTCATTCAGTAAGGGGCCCACACTTTCCTGGGCTTTCTTCTTATTGCCAACATACCTGAAGAAACCCTTCTTGTAAAAGGAATAAAAGGAAGTTCTTCTTTACTCAGTGCACAGTCAATCTGTGGAACTCCTTGCCATAGGAGGTTGTGAAGGCTAGGACTATAACAGGGTTTAAAAGAGAACTGGATAAATTCATGGAGGTTAAGTCCATTAATGGCTATTAGCCAGGATGGGTAAGGAATGGTGTCCCTAGCCTCTGTGTGTCAGAGGGTGGAGATGGATGGCAGGAGAGAGATCACTTAATCATTACCTGTTAGGTTCACTCCCTCTGGGGCACCTGGCATTGCCACTGTGAGTAGACAGGATACTGGGCTGGATGGACCCTTGCTCTGACCCAGTATGGCCTTTCTTATGTTCTCAGGATTTCATAGTAGAGTCCTTTTTGCAGAAAGTTATGACTGTATTTCCTTTCAATATTTGGTGTTATGGAAATCCACCTTAGCCTCTTCTTTTCTGTTACGAACCACAGAAATGTGACACTGAGCCCTAGTCTACACTACAAACTTATGTCAGTATAACTACATCGCTCAGGGGTGTGGAAAATTTGCACCCCTGAGTGCTGCAGTTATGCCAACCTAACTCCTGGTGTAGACAGCACTTTGTCAATGGGAGGGCTTTTCCTATTGACATAGCTACCTCCTCTTAGGAGGTTTAAAACCTATAGACTATGCTGAGTGGAAAAGGTGTCCTGTTGGTAGGTAGCATTTTCATTAAGCACTATAGCACTGCAAGTGTAGACAAACCCTTAGTTCATCACTTTGATTCATGGCTGAGGTGGCCAGCTAGATGCAGAGATCTCTCACTATTCATGATTTAACTTCAGTTACAGAATTCATATTTATAGTTGTGAGTATGATCACCTCCCAGATGAAAATAATGAAACAAATTCTTTCTCTCATTTCCGTCGGTGGGGAAACTTGAAAAGTAGAAGACATTTTGTTTTGTGATGAATGTGTATATGTGTCTGTGTAGAGAGCTTATTGTGGAAAAGCTAAGTTGATGAGGTGTATTTTGTATTAAGCTCTAATTTTGGAAGTTCTGTAAGAGTGAGTTCCATAGTCTAGGTCCAGACACCCATTCTCTCATCTGTGTCATGATCCTCCTCTCTTGGTAAACAGTTTCATGGTTCCAGTAGGATTTAGCTGTCAGTGGAGAGAGAAGTGATCTTAGGTAACACATGTTAACCCCACAGAGAGCTATGAATTTTAAAATTAAAGCTGGTCAAAAAATGCCAAAAAACTACAAAATTATTTCATCAAAATGTTGAATTTTCAAAAAGTTTCAATCCTTTATAAATTGGTCATAAACAGAAACAATAATTGAAAAATTTAGAAATATTTTTCCTAAAAAATGTTGTTGAAACTTTATTTTTTTAAATAACTAACTAAAATGAATTGAATACAGACTCCAGTGCCTTTGCTAAGTGAGCCGACTGCTGCACTCTGCATTATGGAGCCTCTTTCCCTAATATACTGAATATGTCTGGGGCATAAGTGTGTGGATTACTGTGGTCAGATCTGTGTATGATACCAGAGAGCACAGTCTTCTGATTAGTCACAATAGAAAAGATGTTAGCATTTGAAAAACTATTTGAAGATATTAAATAAGAAGTTATTGACTATATAAAGGGTCTGTGATTACATAGGACTTGGGTTTGGCATATAAAATCAGCAGATAAGGTGCAAATTTTTAATGTAAAGAAAGTGGCTGGAACATCCATGACTGTTAGTCGGAGAGAAAAATGTAAAAAATAGGTTTGTCAAGAACTTACAAAAATTAATTGCGATTAATCACAGGATTAAAAAAATTAATCGCAATTATTATTGTTTAACAGCGCGACTAGAATACCATTTATTTAAATATTTTTGGACGTTTTGTACATTTTCAAATATATTGATTTCAATTACAACACAGAATACAAAGTGTACAGTGCTTACTTTATATTATTATTATTTTTATTACAAATGTTCGCACTGTAAAAAACAAAAGATATAGTATTTTTCAATTCACCTAATACAAGTACTGTAGTGCAACCTCTTTATCATGAAAGTTGAACTTACAAATGTAGAATTATGTACAAAAAATAACTGTATTCAAAAATAAAACAATGTAAAACTTTAGAGCCTACAAGTCCACTCAGTCCTACTTCAACCAATCATCCAAACAAACATCTTTGATTACAGTTTGCAGGAGATAATGCTGACCGCTTCTTGTTTACAATGTCACCTGAAAGTGAGAACAGGCATTCACATGGCACTGTTATAGCCAGTGTCTCAAGATATTTACTTGCCAGATGCGCTAAAGATTCATATGTTCCTTCACGCTTCAACCACCATTCCAGAGGACACGTGTCCATGCTGACGACAGGTTCCGCTCAATACGATCTAAAGCAGAGCAGACCGAAGCATATTTATTTTCATCATCCGAGTCAGATGCCAACAGCAGAAGATTGGATTTTCTTTTTTGGTAGTTCGGGTTCTGTAGTTTCCACATCCAGTTCCTCTTTTAAGACTTCTGAAAGCATGCTCCACAGCTTGTCCCGCTCAGATTTTGGACAGCACTTCAGATTCTTAAACCTTGGGTCAAGTGCTGTAGCTATCTTTAGAAATCTCACATTGGTACCTTCTTTGCGTTTTGTCAAATCTGCTGTGAAAGTGTTCTTTAAAATGAACATATGCTGGGTCATCAACCGAGACTGCTATAACATAAAATATATGGCAGAATGCAGGTAAAACAGAGCTGGAGACATACAATTCTCCCCCAAGGAGTTCAGTTACAAATTTAATTAATGGGTTATTTTTTTAATGAGCATCATCAGCATGGAAGCATGTCCTGTGGAATGATGGCTGAAGCATGAAGGGGCATACAAATATTTAGCATATCTGGCACATAAATACCTTGCAACACCAGCTACAAAAGTGCCATGCGAATGCCTGTTCTCACTTTTAGGTGACACTGTAAATAAGAAGCAGGCAGCAGTATCTCCCATAAATGTATACAAACTTGTTTGTCTCAGCGATTGGCTGAACAAGAAGTAGGACTGCGTGGACTTGTAGGCTCCAAAGTTGTACATTGTTTTGTTTTTGAGTGCAGTTATGTAACAACAAAAGTCTACATTTGTAAATTACACTTTCACGATAAAGAGATTACACTACAGTACTTGTATGAGGTGAATTGAAAAATACTATTTTTTTTTACAGTGCAAATATTTGTAATAAAAAATAATAATGTAAAGTGAACTCTGTACACTCTGTATTCTGTGTTGTAATAGAAATCAATATATTTGAAAATGTAGAAAAACATCCAAAATATTTAATAAATTTCAATTGGTATTCTTATTCTATTGTTTAACAGTGCGATTAATCACTGTTAATTTTTTAATCGCAGTTAATTTTTTGAGTTAATCGCTGAGTTAACTGCGATTAATCGACAGCCCTAGTAAAAAAGAACTTTTTATAAACACTTCATTTTAGTTGATGGGATAGAAAGTTTGTTTTAGTAACTTTTTTTTGTTTGTTTTATTTTGTTAACTGTTTTCCTTTTTAAATTGTTTGGCTTCTTAAGCTACCAAATGGTGTTACTTATCATACTGGGACATACCAAGACAGATTAGCAAAGCTGCAAGAACATCTCCGTCAGCTATCAATACTCTTCAGGAAACTGAGATTAGTCTATGACAAATGCAATGAAAACTGTGCAGGGCTAGATCCTGTTCCCATAGAGGTAAGTATTTTCTTTGATATGTTTGATTGTTGGGTCTGATTTTTATTGTTTGTTTATGTTACAGTAGCACCCATTCCTTCAGATTGCTTGTTATACTCAGCTGTTGTCTCTGATTTTAAACAAGACTGTAAACCAGTGGTCCCCCAACTTTTTCTTTTGTGGCCTCTCTTACCCATAACGGAACCTGTCCAGCCCCTCCCCCAACCCCCACAACTACGGCTGGGAGCAGGACCGGAGCCACAGTCAGGAGCCGGGGCCACGAGCAGAGCCACAGATGGGGGCTAAGAGTGGGACTGGGGGCCGGGGCTGGGACTGGGAGCCAAGGCCAGAACTGCAGCTGGGGCCGCAGCCAGGGGTGAAGCCATGACCAGGACCCGAACTGAGGCTAGGGCTGGGGGTAGAGCAGGTCTGGGTGGCACTCCCTCCCCACCCCGTGTGGGCTGTCCTGGGCCCCACCACGCCCCCCCACCCGATGTTCCTCTGCTCCCCCCCGAGGGGCACACCCCACAGTTTGGGGACCACTGCTGTAAACTCTTCAGGGGACAGATTGTCACTTTGTGGAGCTGGTTGAAATTTTGAAGCTGTTTTTTTTAATTTAAAAAAAAATTAAAAGAGAACTAAATTTTTTCATTTAGATTGAATGAGGGTTTTTTTACTTTTGGAAGGATGAAAAATTTGAAACATTTTTTTAAATGAAATTAAATTTCATTTCAGATTTTGGAGTAGTCTTTGCCCAGTAGAAAAAAGGAGAAAAGGTTTTGGGGCTTTTTGTTTTAAAAAGCGGGAGAGAGTGAGACAGAGAGACAAACTGGGGAAAAACTTACTTTCTGTGTATCTTTTTTTATGCTTTTCCAGGGGAAAGAAATACATTTAGAGGAAAAAAAGTTAGAGTGGAGGTTTTTATCCACTACTTTCTCTCACATTTTTTCTTTTTCCAATTATTTTCCAGTGGGGAAAAAGTGAGAGGAAGAACACTGGATGGAAAATCTTTTTTCCATTCCAAAATTCCAAAAGTAAACAGAAAACCTGAGAGAAAATGAGAGTTTCTCCTTGATTTTTTTAATCTTTGTCAAATCTACCTTTTTTCCTTTGAAATTTAGACATGCCCTACTTACTCTGAGTTTACTGCGTAGCACAATGGGGCACCTATCCTCATTGGGCCTCTGGATACTATTGCTGCTGCTGTTACTACTAGTAGTAGATTTTTGAATTTTCTACACCGTTTTACTCTTGTATTTGTGGGCAGTTTAATATAAACATGGTGTTATAAGTTTTAAAATATTCACTAAACAGGAACAAAGAAATATAGGAAATTTAGGATCAGACCAGTGGTCCATCTAGACCAGAGGCGGGCAAACTTTTTGGTCTGAGGGCTGCATCGGGTTTCTGAAATTGTATGGAGGGCCGGTTAGGGGAGGCTGTGCCTCCCCGAACAGTGAGGCATGGCCTGGCCCCTGCTCCCTATTTGACCCCGCCACTTCTCGCCCCCTGACAGCCCCCACCCCCCCCCCCCCGGACTCCTGCCCTATCCAACCCCTCCATTCCTTGATGGCCCCCTGGGAACCCCTGCCCCATCCACCCCCCTTCTCTCGGTCCCCTGATCACCCCCGGATCCCCCGCCCCTAACTGTCCCCCACCGTCCCATCCAACCTCCCCCCTCCTTCCTGACTGCCCCCCTGGGACTCCTGCCCCATCCAACCACACCCCTTCTCCCTGACTGCCCTGGACCCCTCTCCCCTAGCTGCCCCCCACCACCTCATTCAACCCCCTCCTCCTTCCTGACTGGCCCCCCAGGACCCCTACCCCATCCACTCCTTCTGTTCCCTGTGCCCTGACTGCCCCCCACCACCCCATCCAACCCCTCCTCTCCTTACTCTCTGCCCCCTCTGGGACTCCTGCCCCCATTCAACCCCCGTTCCCCGCCCTCTGACCGCCCCAACCCCTCTCCATGCCCCTGGCCACCCCCCGAACTCCCCTGCCCTCTATCTAACCCCCTCTCCCCCGCCCCGCTCCTTACTGCCTGGAGCCGCACCGCACAGCACAAAGCTCTGCAGCCCCACCACCCAAAGCAGTGCGGCGGCGTGGCTGCGGGGGAGGGGGGACAGTCTCCCAGGCCAGGAGCTCAGGGGCTGGGCAGGACAGTCCCACGGGCCAAATGTGGCCTGCAGGACATAGTTTGCCCACCTCTGATCTAGACCAGTCTCTGACAAGATTACCACCCGCTTTAGAGAAAAGTACATGAAATCCTGCAGCAGGCTGTTATGGGATAATCCGCTCCATGGAAAGTTTCCTCCCAACCCCTGATAGATGGAGTTGACTTATGCCCCATAGCATGTAAATTTATATCCTTTCTTGGAGATTGTTTATGGGATTTGGGTTTTTTTTAAGCATTTGCTATTATATATATGGATATTTTGTTATCCATATTAATGTCCAATCCCTTTCTGACTCCTTCTAATCTCATGGCCTCAGTGATATCTTGTGCAATGAGTTTCATTGTGCTTTGTGTGGAAGAAGTTTCATTTTATTGGTTTTGAGTTTGCTAACTTTGAGTTTCATTTTGTTCCTCTTGTGTTTTATGAGACAGGGTGAATAGAAGCTGAATCTACTAGACCATTCACTATTTTGTGTCCCTTTGTCATATTCCCTCTTAGGGCCTTTAATTATCTTCTATTATGAAAGTGAAAAAGTACAGTTGGTACACACAGTATCTTGAAGAGGTGGAATTTGGGCTGAATATAGCAAAATGGTATTGTATTGTGAATGCAGAGAAATTGTCCTCCGGTTTAAAAGGAAGTGTGTGTGTTAAGTCAAGCACTCTTCCAGTTCCCAGATATCTATAACTAACATTCTATCAATAAAGCTAGATTAAGAAAAGGTCGCATAACCATAACTCTGTCCCCTTGTGCATTGCTTTTGATGTAGTCTCTAATTACATACTAGTACAATATAGTGTTCTACTTATATTAATTAATTTATATTAATTTAGCTCCCGTCCTGCCACTGATTCCATCAGAACCAGTTGCAGGATTCTGGCTTTAGATTACATGTGAACCATCTTTAAAAAAATTTTTTTTCATTGTTGCTATACTCTGTTTTCATTGGCAATCTTTATTTACTTAAATGTTCTAAAATAAATCTCTCTTCAATTTATATATGTTAATATAGTTGGTATCCTTGTACTGTTCAACTCCTTTTCAACCAACAGATCAGTACGTGAGGCAATTAACTATGAAGCTGGCCTAGCTACCAACTTTCTTTGCCTGAATTTCCTGAATGTTGAGTGCTTAACTGTTCAATTTGAATGTTCTTAGTCACTTTTATCAAAAATTACATTTGGTTTAGAGATCAAAGAAATTCCATAGTGTAGAATATTTGGCTGTATGCTACCAGAATGCCTTCTCCTTGCCTTGCAGGGTAGTAAAGGAAGCCCTCCTCCAGAGAACCTTAGTAGCTAAGTAGCTTCTGCCTTATAGGATGCAAATATTATAAGTCATGCACTTTCATTACATTTTCACTGTACAGCTTAGATGCACATATGCAGTGTGGAATTCATTGGCTGTCCACTTTAACAAGATTAATGAGAATTCTGTGCAAAATGTATTTCACGTGCATGAAATTCAATTTTCAATAGGTTAAATCAGAGCTAGTTTTCACCAGTATATTCAAAGGTGGTAATTTTAGAATGAGGACTCCTACATGCCAAATTTAAACTTCCTACCCACATCCATTTTACTCCTAGAGTTGTAAAAAAAAAAAAAAAAAGGCATTTGATTTTTTTTTTAAATTGGGGATGTCTGAGGAAGATGGGAGGTTCCACTCTTGTACTTTAAAATACATTTAATGTCTTTGCTCAACTTAAAAAAATAAAAACCTCCCTTAAACAGAGACCAATCCTGCAAAGTTATGGTACAAGGGGTAACTGTTTCAGTAAGTTATGAATGTCTGAAAATGGGTTAGGATGGAAATTATCATGCTATCTGAGGTTTAACAGATATATTTGGACTGCATAAATGATTTAGTATTCATGATTTCTCTTCCTTTCACATTCCCTCAGCATAAATGGTTCAGTTTCCAATGTAGCTGAATAACAGATGAATGTGCATTTGATTGAGAACCTATTCCCTAATCCTTAACCCTTGTCTTCTCCTTACACATTTCCAGTAATTACTAGTCTTAGTTTTGGCTGTTCTCTGTTTAAATTTAAGAGGATCTTATTCTACTAGCAGCTTCATCTTTTCTCAGTGCCTAACGTCTGAGGACTCAGACATTGTGTTGACATTTAGAAGTGTTCCATATTCTCAATTTTTTTCAGAAATGGGAGTTTAAAGACGAAACAATGGACTGTGTGCCTTCACATACAAGTTCCATTAACTCTAAGATCTAATTCTAAATTGTTGTAGGGTACTGCTTTTGAATCAGAGTAGTATTTTTTTGCTATGCAGAAAAATACTTCTGTCTGTAATTTTTATATACAAATTGGTTGGATTTTCTTTTAAAGGAAGGATATGAGTGTTAAAGTTCATTTAGGACTCTTCATCAGATTTTGTTTCAGACTGTTTCTCTTTACAGTGGCAGTTTGTAGGAAATGATGAAACATGGGTTATTTGATCTGATCACAATGGAAAATATTTAAGACAAAATTCATATTTGACATATTTTTCTGTTAAGATCTTTCTATTTGAATCAACCTATAATGGTCAAAAATACAAAGACATCATAATATAGACTTCTTAAAATATTAAAGGCTAGATTTTGCCTCTTTTAAACCACAGCCCATGTTGAGGCCTGCATAAAGCTGCAGTGGCCCAAGCATATGTCTATGAGGCATTGTGCCTATTTGAAGCACAATACCCTTCCCTGGTGTACGGGGGTGCTTGCTGGAGCCATTCTGTGGGCCTTTGCGGGGGAAGGGAGGTGTTGAGTAAGCCATGTCCCTTAGGCAATTTGAACTCCCAGAGAAAGCAATGATGTCTTTGCTCTCTTTCCAAAGGCTAAGGACAATCTGGCCCTAATATTGCACACCTGTAAAAAGAAACTTTCCTTCTTATCCTCTGTCTGCCACTGTTCCTCTTTCCCTCTTCTCACTTACTCCCCCTCCCCCCCCCCCCCAAAAAAAGGGAAACAAAGGAGTGGTTCAGATTAAGAACTCTGTATTTGCATATATTCCAGTGCAGAGCTCCCATTGCCCACTGAATGAGAGCTGCAGGGTTAGCATATTTTAAAATCAGTTTCTTCTGTTCCTTGATTCTGTAAAAAATACTGTTTACAAGCTTGACAGTATTAAAATAATAATACTAAATAGTCCTAAATACTCTCTAAATACTAAACATTTACAAACATAAGCTTCAGATCAGGAAACTTGTTAAGATTTCTGTTTAATGTATTTAAACTACTGAGAGCAGAGGTTTATAATGGAAATGACATTGGCACAGAAATGCTTCATTTTGACTGTATTGCCATAAATGTAGATGAGAAGTTTATTTTGGCCCCATAGTTCTGGAGCATATACTATCGTTCTCTTCAAATTTTTACCATACATAGCAAAAATAGTTTTTTACTTGAACTTTAACATTTGGTTCACCTTCATAGCAACTTATTCCATATGTTGAGGAGGATGGATCCAAGCATGATGATCGTGGTGTTGCAAGCCAGCTTCGTTTTGCTAGTGAGGAAAGAAGGGAAATCATGGAAGTAAATAAGGTAACAGTTCAGATTGACTTGCATGACGCAGAAAATATGTTGCTTTGTCCATGTGAAGCTTGTATTACTAGATTGCTCCATAAAATGCAGTGTGTTTGCTATTTGGCCCCAAGTAACAAATAGTTCAGGAGTAAACATTTCTTGTGTATCAGGATTTCAGCGTTCTCCATCATAGAATCATAGAATATCAGGGACGGAAGGGACCTCAGGAGGTCATCTACTCCAACCCCCTGCTCAAAGCAGGACCAATCCCCAACTAAATCATCCCAGCCAGGGCTTTGTCAAGTCTGGCCTTAAAAACCTCTAAGGATGGAGATTCCACCACCTCCCTAGGTAACGCATTCCAGTGTTTCACCACCCTCCTAGTGAAAAAGGTTTTCCTAATATCCAACCTAAATCTCCCCCACTGCAACTTGAGACCATTACTCCTTGTTCTGTCATCTGCTACCACTGAGAACAGTCTAGAGCCATCCTCTTTGGAACCCCCTTTCAGGTAGTTGAAAGCAGCTATCAAATCCCCCCTCATTCTTCTCTTCCACAGACTAAACAATCCTGGTTCCCTCAGCCTCTCCTCATAACTCATGTGTTCCAGTCCCCCAGTCATTTTTGTTGCCTTCCGCTGGACGTTTTCCAATTTTTCCACATCCTTCTTCTAGTGTGGGGCCCAAAACTGGACACAGTACTCCAGATGAGGCCTCACCAATGTTGAATAGAGGGGAACGATCACGTCCCTCGATCTGCTGGCAATGCCCCTACTTATACACCCCAAAATGCCATTGGCCTTCTTGGCAACAAGGGCACACTGTGGTCTCATATCCAGTTTCTCGTCCACTGTAACCCCTAGGTCCTTTTCTGCAGAACTGCTGCCAAGCCATTCGTCCCTAGTCTGTAGCGGTGCATTGGATTCTTCCGTCCTAAGTGCAAGACTCTGCACTTGTCCTTGTTGAAACTCATGAGATTTCTTTTGGCCCAATCCTCTAATTTGTCTAGCTCCCTCTGTATCCTAACCCTACCCTCCATCGTATCTGCCTCTCCTCCCAGTTTAGTGTCATCTGCAAACTTGCTGAGGGTGCAATCCACACCATCCTCCAGATCATTAATAAAGATATTGAACAAAACCGGCCCCAGGACCAACCCTTGGGGCACTCCACTTGATACCGGCTGCCATCTAGACATGGAGCCATTGATCACTACCCGTTGAGCCCGACAATCTCGCCAGCTTTCTATCCACCTTATAGTCCATTCATCCAGCCCATACTTCTTTAACTTGCTGGCAAGAATACTGTGGGAGACTGTGTCGAAAGCTTTGCTAAAGTCAAGGAACAACACGTCCACTGCGTTCCCCTCATCCACAGAGCCAGTTATCTCGTCACAGAAGGCAATTAGATTAGTCAGGCATGACTTGACCTTGGTGAATCCATGCTGACTGTTCCTGATCACTTTCCTCTCCTCTAAGTGTTTCAGAATTGATTCCTTGAGGACATGCTCCATGATTTTTCCAGGGACTGAGGTGAGGCTGACAGGCCTGTAGTTCCCAGGATCCTCCTTCTTCCCTTTTTTAAAGATGGGCACTATATGAGCCTTTTTCCAGTCATCCGGGACCTCCCCTGAACACCATGAGTTTTCAAAGATAATGGCCAATGGCTCTGCAATCACATCCGCCAACTCCTTTAGGACTCTCAGATGCAGCGCATCCGGCCCAATGGACTTGTGCTCGTCCAGCGTTTCTAAATAGTCCCGAACCACTTCTTTCTCCACAGAGGGCTGGTCACCTCCTCCCCATGCTGTGCTGCCCAGTGCAGTAGTCTGGGAGCTGACCTTGTTTGTGAAGACAGAGGCAAAAAAAGCATTGAGTACATTAGCTTTTTCCACATCCTCTGTCACTAGGTTGCCTCCCTCATTCAGTACGGGGCCCACACTTTCCTTGACTTTCTTCTTGTTGCTAACATACCTGAAGAAACCCTTCTTGTTACTCTTAACATCTCTTGCTAGCTGCACCTCCAGGTGTGATTTGGCCTTCCATATTTCACTCCTGCATGCCCAAGCAATATTTTTATACTCTTCCCTGGTCATTTGTCCAGTCTTCTACTTCTTGTAAGCTTCTTTTTTGTGTTTAAGATCAGCAAGGATTTCACTGTGAAGCCAAGCTGGTCGCCTGCCATATTTACTCTTCTTTCTACACATCGGGATGGTTTGTCCCTGTAACCTCAATAAGGATTCTTTAAAATACAGCCAGCTCTCCTGGACTCCTTTCCCCCTCATATTATTCTCCCAGGGAATCCTGCCCATCAGTTCCCTGAGGTTGTCAAAGTCTGCTTTTCTGAAGTCCAGGGTCCATATTCTGCTGCTCTCCTTTCTTCCTTGTGTCAGGATCCTGAACTCGACCAGCTCACAGTTGCTGCCTCCCAGGTTCCCATCCACTTTTGCTTCCCCTACTAATTCTTCCTGGTTTGTGAGCAGCAGGACAAGAAGAGCTCTGCCCCTAGTTGGTTCCTCCAGCACTTGCACCAGGAAATTGTCCCCTACACTTTCCAAAAGCTTCCTGGATTGTCTGTGCACTGCTGTATTGCTCTCCCAGCAGATATCAGGGTGATTGAAGTCTCCCATGAGAACCAGGGCTTGCGATCTTGTAACGTCCGTGAGTTGCCAGAAGAAAGCCTCATCTACCTCTTCCCCCTGGTCCGGTGGTCTATAGCAGACTCCCACCACTGCATCACCCTTGCTGCTCACACTTCTAAACTTAATCCAGAGACTCTCAGGTTTTTCTACAGTTTCATACCGGAGCTCTGAGCAGTCATACTGCTCTCTTATATACAGTGCAACTCCCCCATCTTTTCTGCCCTGCTTGTCCTTCCTGAACAGTTTATATCCATCTCCATGACAGTACTCCAGTCATGTGAGTTGTCCCACCAAGTCTCTGTTATTCCAATCACATCATAATTCCTTGACTGTGCCAGGACTTCCAGTTCTCCCTGCTTATTTCCCAGGCTTCTTGCATTTGTGTATAGGCACTTGAGATAACTTGGTGTTTGTCCTGCTTTCTTAGTATGAGGCAGGAGCCCTCCCCTCTCGCGCTCTCCTGCTCGTGCTTCCTCCCAGTATCCCATGTCCCCACTTACCTCAGGGCTTTGGTCTCCTTCCCCTGTGAACCTAGTTTAAAGTCCTTCTCACTAGGTTAGCCAGCCTGCTTGCAAAGATGCTCTTCCCTCTCTTCGGGAGGTGGAGCCCGTCTCTGCCTAGAACTCCTCCTTCTTGGAACACCATCCCATGGTCAAAGAATCCAAAGCCTTCTCTCCAACACCACCTGCGTAGCCCTTCATTGACTTCCACGATTCGACGGTCTCTACCCAGGCCTTTTCCTTGACGGGGAGGATGGATGAGAACACCATTTGCACCTCAAACTCCTTTATCCTTCTTCCCAGAGCCACGTAGTCTGCAGTGATCCGCTCAGGGTCATTCTTGGCAGTATCATTGGTGCCCACGTGGAGAAGCGGGAAGGGGTAGCAATCCGAGGGCTTGATGAGTCTCGGCAGTCCCTCCGTCACATCGTGAATCCTTGCTCCTGGCAAGCAGCAGACTTCTTGGTTTTCCCGGTTGGGGCGGCAGATAGATGACTCAGTCCCCCTGAGGAGAGAGTCCCCGACCACCACCACCTGCCTCTTTCTCTTTGGAGTGGTGGTCATGGAACCCCGATCCCTAAGACAGTGCATCTCGTGCCTTTCAATTGGCGGAGTCTCCTTCTGTTCCCTTCCCTCAGATGTATCATCTAGTCCACTCTCCGCATTAGTTCCTGTGGAGAGAACATGAAAACGGTTGCTTACCTGTATCTGCGTTGCTGGTACATGGATGCACCCCTTTCTTCTTCTGGAGGTCACATGCTGCCAAATTTCTTCACTGTCCTCCTGTCCCCGCTGCGCAGCCTGCTCTGAATCTTCAGAACACTGTGTTCGTAGAAGCATATCCTGACGTCTGTCCAGGAAATCTTCCGTTTCTCTTACGCAACGCAGGGTCGATACTTGTTTCTCCAGACCTTGAACCTTCTCTTCCAATATGGAGACCAGCTTGCACTTTGTACAGACAAAGTCGCTTCTGTCCTGTGGCAGAAAGACAAACATGGCACATCCGGTTTGTTCAGCAATTTTTGATTTTGTTCTACTGGTTGATTGCGGAGTTAAGGCACCCCAACAATCAAAACTGTGTTGCTCTCTACAGTGTTTCCTAGCCAGTGCTGTGAGATTTTCATGAATGAGGTACATTTGGGTTTGTACCTAGTAGTTCTATTTAGTATTTGGCGAGCAGATTGGGATGAGATCATAGTTGGGTTCTCTGTGGCTTTGAAGCTTCTCCAGGAATGGTGGATAGCAGAATGTATATACAATGTAAGATGTGAAAATATTATCAGAACTATGTTGTGGATTAATAATGAACTGTAGGGCTGCCACTCCAACACCTTTCATGAGTAATAAATTCCTTGTTTGAAGAAAGAAAAAAAAAGGGTCTGCTTTTTGTATTTTGAGAAATTGAAGAAGAACTTTTCTTTTGTCAAGTGTAGCATTTATGATACACTAACTGGTTCAAGAAAATGTATCAGATATGCTAAAGATGCTGTTAAATTTTCAGTCTGAATGGCAGGTATAGTTACTAATTAAAATTTTATTCAAATCAGTGTAGAAAGGTTACTAAAATATACAGCATCACTAAAGCACAAGTAGTTGGTCCTTCAAATTGTAAAACATAAAGATAGGATTAAATATTTGAAGGGTTGGAATAGACGTATGTGTAAATACTAAGCAGAAAGCAGTACAGGTATATGTAAAATAGACAGAAAACAACTGAACAAAAGAAATATCTAGATTCCAAGTAATTAAAATAAGTGGTAGATGGAAATACCAGTAAATCCACTGAAAATATTTCTTTGATGTTTGAACTTTTCAATTCCCAATTAGAGAGGGAAAGATATTACATAAAACCCTATATTTATTCACACACTGTATAGGCAAAAACATGGGGACAGCATGTGAATTGAGAGAAAAGCAACTGAAAGCTTTTCTGTTGTATTTTATCTTCTTATATGTTGATGTAGAGGGATTGTATATATTAAATCCTATATAATGTTATACTGTGAATTTATGCACATTTATTTGCAATCTTTAACTGTTAATAAACATAACTGTCTGTATTTACTGTGTGTTTGATAGTTTTATGACATGTTTTTACCCTTGTTGTTTTACTTGTATGCAAATTGGTTTTTTAAACCTCCTTGGCATGATCTTGTGGAATTTCATAAATGTTTAAGCTTTCTTTTAACAAAATAAATTAATAATAATAGAAATGTAGGACTGGAAAGGATCTCAGTAGGCCATCTAGTCCAGTCCCCTGCACTGAGGCAAAACTGAGTACTATATCTAGACCTCTCTGACAGGTGTTTGTTTAACCTCTCCTTAAAAACCTCTAATGACAGAGATTCTATAACCTCCCTAGGTAATTTGTTTCAGTGCTTAACTACCATTACACTTAGGAAGTTTTTCCTAATGTCTAACCTAAATCTCCCTTGCTGCAATTTAACCCCATTACTGCTTGTCTGTCCTCAGTGGATAATGAGAGCAATTTATCACCCTCTTTTTTATGACAATCTTTTATGTACTGGAAGACTGTTATCCTGTCCCCTCTCAGTCTTCTGTTCTCCAGACTAAACAAACCCAATTTTTTTCAGTCTTTCCTTGTAGGTCATATTTTCTAGACGTTTAGTCACCTTTGTTGCTCTCCTCTGGACTTTCTCCACTTTATCTACATCGAAGTGTGGTGCCCAGAACTGGACACAGTACTTCAGTTGAGGCCATATCAGTGCTGAATGGAAAAATTACATCTAGTGTCTTGCTTGCAACACTCCTGTTAATACATTCCAGAATAATGTCTGCTTTTTTGCAACGGAATTTCATTGTTTACTCATATTTAGTTTGTGCTCCAATATAACACCCAAATTCTTTTTTTCAGTACTCCTTCCTAAGCAGTCATTTCTCATTTTGTTTTTGTGCAGTTTATACTCCTGGGGGAATTCTGCACCAAAAAAATTAAAAATTCTGCACACAATATTTTAAAATTCTGCAAAATAGTGCATATTTTATTTGTCAAAATAACGCAATATAATGGTGCCAGTTTCCATTATTTTGATAATTTATTTCAAAATGTCTGCTAGCAAGTATGTCTGTAACAATACAGTCCAAAAAACCTGATTCTGGTAGAGTTTTTTTGACAAATAGATTCCTTACTAGGCATATTAATACAGAACTTTGAGTAATTCATTTAAATTAAAATACAGAACTGTATTTCCTGCACCTGTCAGAAGCAGCGCAAAGGCTTGGGGGGCGTCAGGGGTAATGGAGGAGTTGAGGGAGAGGGAAGGAGCCTGGAGTGAACCTGGAGGGTTGTGGGGTGTGGGTGGGAGAAATATAGTATAGGTTTTTCGTGGGGGGAAGGGTTGGGATTGTTAGGGAATTGAGGAGACTCCCCCATTCAGTCAGGTACATCTGCCCCTGTCCCCGTACTCCCCATCCCCATGGGTCTCTGCAGCCTCCTCCCCCATCTTCAGGCTCAACGCTGTCACCCCACTAGCTCCTGAGTCCATGCCTCAGTCTGTTCCCCCACTAGCCATTCTGAACCCCAGTATCTGACACCCCCGCAGCAGCCCTGTGTGCCCCACGCTGTCCTAATCTGGCTCCGCAGGCAGGGTGCTCTGATGAAGTTCTACTCCTGGGGGAATTCTCTGCCACTGGGCATGCACAGATTCCCCCCCCTCCCCCACAGAAAATGTATTCTGCCCCAGAAGTGCTACAGTTCCACCTTTTGCCCACCAGAGGCCACTGTGGTGCCAGAACAGCCAGCTGCATTCATGCTGCTAACTGTTCTGATGCCACAGCAGCCTCTGGTGGGCGAAAGGCAGAACTGCAGCATCTCTTGGGCAGAAATATATTTTCTGCGGGGAAGAACTTAGTTTGATGGGAGGGATTCTCCTGTCGACATAGCTACTGCCTCTTAGGGCCTATCTACACTATCCGCTGGATCATAGAATCATAGAATATAAGGGTTGGAAGGGACCCCAGAAGGTCATCTAGTCCAACCCCCTGCTCGAAGCAGGACCAATTCCCAGTTAAATCATCCCAGCCAGGGCTTTGTCAAGCCTGACCTTAAAAACCTCTAAGGTAGGAGATTCTACCACCTCCCTAGGTAACGCATTCCAGTGTTTCACCACCCTCTTAGTGAAAAAGTTTTTCCTAATATCCAATCTAAACCTCCCCCACTGCAGCTTGAGACCATTACTCCTCGTTCTGTCATCTGATACCATTGAGAACAGTCTAGAGCCATCCTCTTTGGAACCCCCTTTCAGGTAGTTGAAAGCAGCTATCAAATCCCCCCTCATTCTTCTCTTCTGCAGGCTAAACAATCCCAGCTCCCTCAGCCTCTCCTCATAACTCATGTGTTCCAGACCCCTAGTCATTTTTGTTGCCCTTCGCTGGACTCTCTCCAATTTATCCACATCCTTCTTGTAGTGTGGGGCCCAAAACTGGACACAGTACTCCAGATGAGGCCTCACCAATGTCGAATAGAGGGGGACGATCACGTCCCTCGATCTGCTCGCTATGCCCCTACTTATACATCCCAAAATGCCATTGGCCTTCTTGGCAACAAGGGCACACTGCTGACTCATATCCAGCTTCTCGTCCACTGTCACCCCTAGGTCCTTTTCCGCAGAACTGCTGCCTAGCCATTCGGTCCCTAGTCTGTAGCTGTGCATTGGGTTCTTCCGTCCTAAGTGCAGGACCCTGCACTTATCCTTATTGAACCTCATCAGATTTCTTTTGGCCCAATCCTCCAATTTGTCTAGGTCCTTCTGTATCCTATCCCTCCCCTCCAGCGTATCTACCACTCCTCCCAGTTTAGTATCATCCGCAAATTTGCTGAGAGTGCAATCCACACCATCCTCCAGATCATTTATGAAGATATTGAACAAAACCGGCCCCAGGACCGACCCTTGGGGCACTCCACTTGATACCGGCTGCCAACTAGACATGGAGCCATTGATAACTACCCGTTGAGCCCGACAATCTAGCCAGCTTTCTACCCACCTTGTAGTGCATTCATCCAGCCCATACTTCCTTAACTTGCTGACAAGAATACTGTGGGAGACCGTGTCAAAAGCTTTGCTAAAGTCAAGAAACAATACATCCACTGCTTTCCCTTCATCCACAGAACCAGTAATCTCATCATAGAAGGCGATTAGATTAGTCAGGCATGACCTTCCCTTGGTGAATCCATGCTGGCTGTTCCTGATCACTTTCCTCTCATACAAGTGCTTCAGGATTGATTCTTTGAGGACCTGCTCCATGATTTTTCCAGGGACTGAAGTGAGGCTGACTGGCCTGTAGTTCCCAGGATCCTCCTCCTTCCCTTTTTTAAAGATGGGCACTACATTAGCCTTTTTCCAGTCATCCGGGCAGCGATCGATCCAGTGAGGGTCGATTTATCGCGTCTAGTATAGATGCGATAAATCAACTGCTGAGCGCTCTCCTGTCAACTCACCGGTACTCCACCAGAACAAGGAGCGCAAGTGGAGTCGACGGGACATCGTCAGCTGTCAACTTACCGCAGTGAAGACACCGCAGTAAGTAGATCTAAGTACGTCGACTTCAGCTACGCTGTTCACGTGGCTGAAGTTGCATATCTTAGATTGACCCTGCGCTGTAATGTAGACAAGCCCTTAGAGAGGTGGAGTACGTATGCTGATGGGAGAAGCTCTCCTGTTGGCATAGATAGCCTTTTCACTATGCACTAGAGAAGCACAGCTGCAGCACTGTAAATATAGACAAGCCCTGATTTTGCTGGTCCCCTAACCCTACGGTATTTGTGTACCACAGAATGTAGAATGAATAGGATGCCCTATTTGCTGGCCTGCACATCAGTTGTAAATCGGGGTTGAGCTGCTTTGGGAGAGCTGTTGAAAAAACTTGGACAGCTCTTTTCCTCACACTATGCCTGGTTCAGACCACCTCAGTTACAAACCCCTCGGGAATGGAGGTTGTTCAGAACTCTGAAATGTTCGTAACTCCGAACAAAATGTTATGGTGGTTCTTTCAAAAGTTCACAACTGAACATTGACTTAATACAGCTTTGAAACTTTTCTATGCCAAAGAAAAATGCTGCTTTTAACCATCATAATGTAAAAGAAACAAGCACAGAAACAGTTTCCTTACCTTGTCAATTTTTTTTTAAACTTTCCCTTTATTTTTTTTAGTTTATGTTTAACACAGTACTGTATTGTATTTTCTTTCTTTTGTGGGGGAGGGGGAAGTCTATGATGCTGCCAGATTGCGTACTTCCTATTCCAAATGAGGTGTATGGTTGTCCGGTCAGTTCCTTAATTGGTGTTTGTAACTCTGAGATTCTACTGTACTACTAATCCACACTTTTCTAAGCACTCAATTCACACAAAATATGTTCACATAAATTTACCTGTTTCCCCCTTACACCTTTTAACTAGTTCAGACTGTGAAGTTTTTCTTCCTACAGAAACATGCTTTTGTTGCTTTAAGGGCTTTGCTAATATCTTCTGATGCCCACGAAGCTCAGTTTTTAAAGGAGCTTGTTTGTTTTGTGAGAGACAAGGGTTCTGACCAAAAGACTGTTGAGAAAAGAAACAGTATTCCCACAGCACTCCTTAATTCCTGGGTTTTCTAATCCTCTAAGAATACATTTTAAAGAGAGCATGGCATTCAGTTGATGACGATGGGAGCACTGATGTGTGAGAATAAACCCCCTGTGCTACATTATGTAGTATGATTATTTTTTTTTAATTGAAATTCCAATTACATAGTCTGGGCTTGATCAAACACCACTTGATAAATTCTTTCTTTTCACAGAAACTGAAACAGAAGAATCAGCAGCTGAAGCAAATTATGGATCAATTACGGAATCTCATTTGGGACATAAATGCCATGTTGGCAATGAGGAACTGAACTATGATACAATTTAAGTATTTTTTGTAATTATGAAAATAGACTTTCTTTATTTTTTTGAAAATACATAATTTCTTTTTTCTAAAAAGCCATTCATTTTCCCCTCTCCTTATCCCACTGGTATACAAAACTCCTTTAATGTTACTATGTGGTTTCTTTTGTGATATTTAAATGTATTGGTTCTGTTTATGTAAACAATTCATCATGTAATTTGTACACACAATAGAGACTCATTTGTGTTTACTACAATAAGCTTTGTAACCTATAGTCATATTTTGGTTAGCATTCCAATTCCGCTGTTTTGGGGTTTTTTTAAAGCTGACTTCAAAACTTGTGTTTTTAAATAAATTTCTCAATGTTTAAACAAATAAAGCTTTTGTTTAAAATATAGTCAGTATTCAAATATGTTCAATGTATTTTCAGTATTTTCAGTGGTCTGTAGTGAAGAACACTCAGGTGAGAAAGAAGGGAATGTAAGTGATACTAAGGAAATTTAAGATAAAGAATTATAGTTCTTATGTAAGTAATAATTGGATCCTAGGATGATTCATAATTCATAATATGAATTGCCATGCCAAATCAGATGATTAGTTCATTTTGTCCAGTGTTGTGTGTCTGACAGAGGACAGAACTGGATGTTTCAGAGCAAAGTGCAAGAAGCCACATGCAGAACAGTACTGGAATAACCTGCCTTTAGGGGATGCGATAGTTTCCTCCTAACTCTTGTCCTTGACTAAAGAGTTACACATCCTGAAACATAAACATTTGTGTCTCTGATTTTTATCTTGTCTACTGTAACTGTAAATGTTCTTATTATCCTTTATATATGTCTAATTTTCTTGAATCCTTCTAAGCTGTTGAATTCAGAGTTGTCTGTGGCATTGAGTTTGACAGATCAATTACATAATTTGGTTTAAAGATAATATTTCTTTTTATCAGTTTTAAATTATTGGCTTTCAGTTCATTGGATAGCACTCTTATTCGTATATTCTGAGAAGGGATCACCGTGAGTGCCTGATTTCTTTTCCTGTATATCATTCATTTGTTCTATATTTATGCTGTCTCTAAATTGAGCAGTCTTATTCTTTTCAATCTCTTGCTATAGAGGTCTCCCCATTCCTCATTTTTTGTCCTCTTCTCTGAATCTCCCCTCTGCCCCCGCCTTATGTTTTTAGATGAGGTGACCAACCAGAGGTTGAATGCAGTATTCCAGGTGAGCCATGTACTAGTGTGTAATGGAATTTGTATACTCCTACCTGAGTGTTTTGGTTGCTGCAATTGCCTGTTGTGCTTTGACCAAATTTTTCATTAAATTGTTCAGCATGACTTCCATGTTTTTCCTTAAGTGATTACTATTCATTTAGAAACCAGCAATGTATGTGAGTAGTCCATTGTCTTGCATTAGTCATCACGTTTCATTGGTATTTGTGCTGCTCGTTTGCCTAAATTGGTTAGGTCACTCTGGCATTCCTCACAGCTTTTCTCTAGTCATAAAACTATCCGATTCTTAAATAATTTTGTGTCATCCACAGATTTTGCCACTTAACTGTTAACCCCCTTTTCCAGACCAATGAATGTTGAACAATATTGTTCCCACTGCAGATTGCTAGGGCACTCTACTGTTAATATTTAGCCATGTTGAAAACTGACCATTTATTCCTACTCTGTCTCGTAGCCAGGTTATACTATTACTTTACTTTTCATCCCATGTCTAATTAGTTTCCTGAATAGGCTCTTGTTGAAAGACTTAGTCAAAACCTTTTTGAAGTCCACATATCTACCAACTGTCCTTTACTCATAATTCACTGATACATTCAAAGAATTCCAGTGGATTAGAAATACACGATTTTTCTTTACAGAAGCTGTACTGCTTTGTTCTTACATCACGTGCAAGGTGTCTGTTTGCATCTGACTATCTCAGCAGAGGATTCATGATTGTGTCCTTTCCTCTCAGTAGAAGATGCCCTCCACTAAAGCTCTTTATTTCCTCTTTCAACCAATTTCCCTCTTATTGGAGGTAAGACCATTGGTGTGTAATTCCCAGGATCATCACTAGCATCTTTTTTTTTAACTCATTCAGTTTTTTCAATAGCTCAGTTCATTTTAAAATTCCCTCCGAACTTTTGGATATATCCAATTCAATCCTGGTGGTTTGCTATCCATTTGTTTCAGTCTCTTCTTTTATTACCTAGAAAGAGGAGGTCTGAGGTAGGTATCTTCCCAACCTCAGCGTTGAAGGCTGTTACAGATGTATCATTTAGGTCCTCTGCAGTGTCCTTTGCTGCCTTAAGCATGTCTTGACTAGGAAACAAAGCTGAGTTTAGTTCAGGTTTAGCTAATGGAAGTTATAATCTAATTTGACCTGCTGTAGTAAAGCTAGTGGTTTTGCCCTATATCTACATTAGGAAAAGTGGTCAAATTTAGATCAGCTGAGCTAGCTCATGTTAACTAAACACAACCTAAATTCATCCAAGTTTCCTAGTCTAAACAAGTCATTAGTTGCTCCCTTTACTCCTCCTTTGGTGTCTGAAAGTTTATAGATAGCAGGTGCCCAGATTATCTTGTCTCTGGAGTCACAGATTTAGTGGACACACTGATTGGATTTTGGTTCAGATTAATTTAGTTTTGATTAGAGGCCTAATTGGAAGTAATGATGATCTAATAATATGCCAGATACCTCAACAGAAACAATACTGCTACTCAGCTCAACTGAGCGAGGGTGAGCTCTTGGTGATGATCAGGAGTTGTACCAAATATAATGGCAAGTTTGTCTGCCTCTGGACAGTGCTGTTGCTGTACTGTGAAAAAAGGGCAAAGCTAGTGAAGATCCTCTTCAGAACAATAGAGAGTTGGTGGGTGACAGCGTTTGGGCATCTTTAAAAAGTGCACGCTCTAGTCTACACCTTGCTTCTAATTTATGGTGCAGTAACACTTCTTTTCCAGTTGCTTGGGTGAGTGTGTGGGCATGACTATATGCCCATTAAGTGCACAGCAGGCTGGTGCACTGTAGATTTGCACCCTGGCTCACTGCAGGGTGGCTGTAGGGGAACCCAGGCCTGTCCTCCACTCCAGATTCTTGTCCAGGGACATTCAACCCAGCACCTCTGGGCTTTTACTCTCCAACCCCTTACTGCTCCTTCCCTGGACTGCTTCCTATTCTGTCCTTGCAGTTCCCTGCTCTTCCTCCTTCTACCCAGGGGTGCAACTGCAGGTTTCCTCCTAGAAGCCCGCCAACCTCCTCCCTTTATAGATCCTGCTCAGCTCCTCCCCGCAGCTGGACTTCATCTGCCATTAGGCCCTCGCAGTCCCTAGGTTTTCTCCAGGTGCAGACTAAGGTTAATTGGCCTAATTTACCCCTTCAGGGCTTGTGTGGGATGGACACTCCATCACAGAGACCTTTTCTTTGTGGTGTTGCCAATAGGAGAGGAATTCACAATGGGTGTAAAATGATGCCACCAGTGTAAGTGAGAGGGGAACTCTCATTTGCTGATATTTTATACTCACTTTGTTATTGGTGTAAATGACTATAGGACAGGGGTGGGCAAATTTTTTGGCCTGAGGGCCACATCGGGGTATGGAAATTGTATGGCGGGCCATGAACGCTCACAAAATTAGAGGTAGAAGTGCGGGAGGGGGTGAGGGCTCCGACTGAGGGTGCAGGCTCTGGGGTGGGGCCAGAAATGAGGAGTTCAGGGTGTGGGAGGGAGCTCCGGTTTGGGGTGCAAAGGGAGGGAGGGTTGAGGGCTCTGGGGTGGGGCTGGGGATGAGAGGTTTGGGGTGCAGGAGGGGGCTCCATGCTGGGATCGAAGGGTTCAGGGGGCAGGAGGGGGATCAGGGCTGGGGCAGGAGGCTGGGGTGCGGGAAGGTATGCAGGCTCCGGCTGGGGGTGCGGGCTCTGGGGTGGGGCAAGGGATGAGGGGTTTGGGGTGCAGCAGACTGCTCCGGGCTGGGCTCGAGAGCTTTGGAGGGCGGGAGGGGGATCAGCGCTTGGGTAGAGGGTTGGGGCTTGGGGAGAGGCTCAGGGGTGCAGGCTCTGGGTGGCGCTTGCCTCAAGTGGCTCCCGGAAGCAGCGGCATGTCTTTTCTCCGGCTCCTACGCAGACGCACGTCCAGGCAGCTCTGCACGCTGCCCTATCTGCAGGCATCACCCCGCAACTCCCACGGGAGCGCCGGAGGGGGCCACACCGCTGCTTCTGGGAGCAGCGTGTAGCGGGGCCATGCGGCTGCTTCCAGGAGCCATGTGGAGTGGCCCCCAACCCCACGCCCCAGCTGGAACGCCGGAGCAGGGCCATGCGGCTGCTTCTGGGAGCCGCGTGGAGTGGCTCCCCCCGACCTTGCTCCCTGGCTGGAGCGCCAGAGTGGGACAAGGCCCAGACCCCGCTCCCCAGCAGAAGTTCGAGGGCCAGTTTGAAACGGCTGGTGTGTCGGATCCGGCCTGGGGGCCATAGTTTGCCCACCCGTGCTCTAGGAGATGCAGCGTAGTGGAGACTAAGGCCCATTATGGGTGACTGTGCTTGTATTTTTGTTAAAATTTCCTTGAAGCTAGTTGGATTCTTTTTTTGTGGTAGTTAATCAGTAAAAACAGCCTAATACAGGAATAAACGTTCAACCGACTGTTAGGAACCATTAGGAATGTTAAGGAATTGGCAGTGCGTTTGTGTGGGAGCCCCGCACAGGCAAGTACACTCCTTTGTACATTTTCATTCTCGTTCAGAATGTTGTGGTGTTGATCCAGTGCTTCCAGAGACAGTACGACGTGCCTGACTTCAACTCCAAGTGACAATATAATAAAGTTAGAAAGATGTCTATTGGGGAACAAACAGTCAAATGTGTGTCTGCAGAGGTTCCAAGTTACATGCAAGACAAAGTACAAACCTCTGCCACTTTCAAGAAGGCTGCAGAAAGCCTACTTTTGCGCTGCCGTAGAGGCAGCAAAGCCACACCCTGCTGCCCTTCTCTAGACCATAAATTTCTCCATTAAACACAGATTGCCTTCACTCAGCTAGAGGAGCCTCGCTAGCCTTGAACTTCTTCCAACTGAGAATTAAAAGGGAAGTTGGAACCTGTGCCCAAGTGCTACTTGAATTCACTATGGTAAAATATGGTAAAATTCACTATGGTAAAATAGTTCACACAGTGTGGCAATACAACGGTGTTGGACTTTAGGAAAGCAAGAATCCAGCAATGTGCAAGATGGTTGAGCAAGCCTCAGCCCAAAATAGTTAGGGCACAACGGACAATTGCTCTGAAAAAAAATGCTAATATTGCTCCATGAGTAGTAGCTGTTCAAAGATCTGAAGTTAAGAAACCCTGTTCTGTCAATGGGAAAAGGAGAGAGGCAAACTCAAGCATGAATACTATGAGTTAGTTAAACTTTACAGGAAGTAGATT